TGTTAATCAAGATACAAAATACAACAAGCTTCCATCCAAACATGAATCTCTCAAAGTGGCTTTTGGACGGTTCAGATTTATGCTTCAGTGTAAAAAAAAAAGAAAAGAAAATTATATTTATTTTGTTAATTACACAGACTTAAAATTGTTAATATAGCAACTGAATATTTACAATATATTTACTTTCAATAACTCTGTTAATTAAAAATGCTTAAACAACATTATTAAATTGTGATATTAAGTGTATGCAATTAAAATTATTACAAGTCAATACTCTGTAAATATTTTATCACGATATTAACATTTAATAATATAAACATAAACAACATTTAAAAACCCGGCATTTTCAAGCCATTTCAGAGCAAATACACTGGCCAAAATATCAAGAAATATTGTAAAATGTTCAAAAATAATATATATATTGAGTTTTTATTTTTATTTTTTCAAGTTTCAGTAATTTTGTTGGTTTTGTCATTTTTAATAGTTTTTTTAATGCCTATGTACTTTTTATTAATTTATTAATACATTTTTATTTTAGTTGCTTTGACAAGTATACATATATACACACACACATATGTATATATATATATATATATATATATATATATATACACACACACACACTTTACTTTATATGTATATATACTTTATTTTGATTTCAGTTTATTTTATTTCAAGTGACAAAATGTTTACACCAGACTTTACCGACATAAAACATACACTAAAAATATAATTGCAGAGATACTGTAAAATGTACTTATTTCACGAATAAAGACACTTCTTACCTGCACTTTTTTCAAAGCTACCGGTGTATGGTCTAGCATGTATGTAGCTCGACAAACCTCGCTGAACTGTCCCCTTCCGATCTTCTTTATAATGTGAAAATTGGCTAAATTGTTATAGCCCATATCCTGTTGGATTTTCTGAAAATGAAGAACAAAAGAACATTTCAAGAAAGCGAAATGCACATCACACAGCTTTCGTTTTATGCTTTTCCGTTCGTCTTAAACTTAAAAAGACAAAACAAACATGTCTCCACAGATCGGCCATTGCCAGCCGAACTCCATGATTGTGTTTGTTTATACGCCAAGAGAAGGAAGAAAACTCTGGAGGGCATCTGGGATAGGTGTTATTAGGGCGATATGTCAGGGCAAGAGAGTGTGGGAACGAATCAACATTAACCATCCACTTTGAATCCAAAGCGCAATATGAAACTTTGCCGTATACTGTCTGGACGAATCAGGCGAGTGGTGACATCCCTACTTCTGAAGTGACTTATGCTGGACCAGTTAGTGACAAACCGCCCCGAGTGATTTTCCCAAGAATCCATGCAGCGCCTTGACACTTGCGCTCTAAAATTAAAAATCTAAACAAAACCCGGAATTAGCCCCTCGGAGATGGCGTGAGCAAATAAATAAATTAATTAACACTTTGACCTTTAGAGGCTTTTCAAGTGTAAACTTTAATCCCGCAAACGTTCTGGCAACTGGAGGTGACAGATAGTGGAACGCAATGTCATGTCGTGGAGAACTACCCGAGGAAATTACATTGTGAAGATGCGAAAGGGATGGGAAGGATGACAAAATCGTATTCTTGTAAACACGCTAAATCTCTTTTATTTATAGTCATGGAATGCATTTTAATATTATGGTTCCATATTAAGATTAAGCTTCGCTCAACTCCCCGAAACGTTCATCCATTAGGATATTCAGTCGTAGCAACAAACGACTTTCTTTCTGTCATTCTTACAATACCAGAATACTTGGACGATCTGTCAGATCCATCAACATTATTGTGTAAAACTCTCTGATATATATAACGGGTTGAACTGAAAGAAATGAGTTGCAGGAAGCACTGCAACTTTACTAGACGCCAGAGGGGTGGATGTAGATCAAGGGGCGACCAATTTAAGAATTTCATTGTTTTCTAACTTGACAGCTTTAAGGGAAAAAAAAGGTGTGAGCCAAAGAATTGCCCCATCCAATTAACACACTGAGGTAGCTTGTTTTTCCATGTGACAACACGCTCTCAACCCCTTCTTCCAGGGACACATCTGGTGCAGCAGAAGCAGCACTCTCTTTCTGCCACCGCAGCGAAGAGAGAAAGCTGGATCTGACTAAATTTAACAATATCAAGCTAATATCCAAGACACCAGGTTTCTCGGCAACGTGTAGTTATTTTGTGTCAAATCCAGAGAGGCTTATGAAAAAATTGTTATATGAACACAATAGTAAGTTGGAAAATTCATGTTTTTCATGGTTATACAAACCAAGAAAAAATTAAAATAAAACACAGGGTAGCCTAGGGGGGTCAATGACAAATGTATTCATTCATTAACAACAGTGTTGTTATCGTTTACTAAAGCTAAAACTATTAAAATAGTTTGTTAATTAAAGTCTAAAATAAAATATAAATATTAGATTAAAAACATTCATAACGAAAATGAGAAATGTTGCTTTGGCAACTAATTAAAATTACTAAAACTGAAAAAAATAAAAAATAAATAATAATAATGACAAAATCAAATAACAAAAGTCACTGAAACAAACTAAAATTAAAACTGAAAATATAAAATATACGCTAACTTAAAATATTAAAATAGTATAAATAATGGTAAAATAACACTGATTAAAGTATTAAAATTACTTACTTTTAATGACGACAAAAAATACAAATATATATTTATATAATATAATCAACAAGTACTACACTTTCGTCAGCCAAATAAAAACCATGTGGAGCAGGAAAACCAAACAGGAAATTACATCATAGAGGACCCAGCGGACGTCATGTGGTGCAATTAATGATACATATTATATGAACTAATTAATTCACAGTTAATAATACGTAACATTTGTGTAAAAAAAAAACTTTTACCTTAGAAAATATATTTATACTTTCTTATATTTACATTATTCTTAAGTTACACCAAGTGATTTAGAGACATGAAATTTAAACTTTTGAAAATAACCATTTTCAAAACCATATGATACCCACATATGGCACATGTGCTTTAAACTGGATTTTTAAAAGATTTTCCCTTTGTTTATTGCGAACACACTTATTTGTCATGGACCCATAGAAGATACATATGTATGGTGTTGATTTGGTCAGCAGCGGAAGGTCCGCAGAGGGCCAAGGCATTGCTTTCACTCCCCGCATGGTCGCTTGACAAATGTTAGCATGAGCCTCTAAAGCGGCATGACAAGCGCATGCTGAGAGCAAAGTCGAGCTAATGTGTTCTGGCATGCGGCTTGCTAATCACACATTTACATATGCAATGACCTACATTTGCATGTCAGCTCGCGCACTGTCCGGCCTGATTAACGACGGGCACCTCCCAGCGTCGGGGAGGCCGGCATAGCGGCGGGAGGAGGCCAGAGGGTGGCGGCTTTTTTGGCAGCCGAAGGGATGCACTGCCAGCCAGGATTAGGCCTGACGCGGCCCGAGCTCCAGACACTTCATTAGAGGTAATCTGTTTAGCAGTGGGCAGTGTATGTAAACTTCACAGGCCATTTGCGGCACCTTTCTGCCCCCTGGCCTCGCCTTCAAAGGGCAGCAGGGGCGCCCTGACTGACAGCTTGTCTCATCCGTGGCTTTGCGCTGTCACACAATTTAGAGCACTGAGCTGACACGAGATGAACCGCAGCAGCCGAGGATCTCCACGACCGCCGGGGTCACTCGACAGAGGCGTGACGCGGTTTGTACAGATTGCAGCTTGCAGGAGGGGCGGGAGCTCAAAGGGCTCGTTGCCGCTCTGCATGAAGTGGAGAAAACAAAAATAACGCATAGAGGTGGGAGGAAAGGGGCCAAGAACGGCTTGAATTGGGATGCTGAACAACTTTCACGGTAAGCTTTTCATTAAGATTAGGGGTGCGCCGATAAATCGATTCTGCGATTTTCTGAATGCATCACGATTCTCACTCGAATCGATTCTGAGCTTAGTTTTTAACAGCAGATGGCACTCTAGGCTAGATTTTAACCGCACACTTAATGCTCACGAAGAAGAGCGCTTGTGTGTTCGACTGAGTCATGTAAGTGGTTAAATGTACTTGCACCTCAGCTTTTATGACGCAAGATTCATGTAAACGCAACCCAATGTGAACACTTGTAATTCGATTCAACCTTTTCGAAATTTAAGAACGGCTGTTTCTAAAGCACGCAGTGCCATCTGCTGTTAAAAATCAAGCTCAGAATTGATTCCAGAGAGAATCGCGAATAATTTGGAAAATTGCAGAATCGATCAATGAATCGATTTATCGTCGCACCCCTAATTAAGTTGCGGTCAGTAAAAATATTAGGGGCAAAAAGTCTGTCTGTTGTCAATAGCGTAGTAATGCAAGATGGAAAGCTCACATAGAAGTTACTTTCAAACCAAGCTGCTTTCTGTTGGTCAGTATGGCAATTTGTGTGACCAACTTGAAAATGAGCGAAATCTGCATAGGGAACTTTTTCTCCCAGAATGACTTGATTTTGCCCACAAAATATTACGAAGCAATGGTAATGTGCCCACGACAAAATGGATCATTGCTGCTCTGTGGCAAGTGGAGAAAACAAAAATAACACACGGAGGTGGGAGGAAAGGGGTCGAGAACGGCTGGAATTGGGATACCGAACAACTTTCACAAAAATATTTTTATTAAAGGGGTCCTATTATGCTCTTTTACAAAGTCTTGATTTTGTTTTGGGGGTGTACTAGAACAGGCTCTCATACTAGGTTGTTCGAAAAACACATTATTTTTCACATATTTTACATTATTACAACACCTCTCTCCCCAGTCTGGCATGAACGGCTCGAATAGTTCCTGTATCAAATGATGGCCCGCCTTCTGAAATTTGAAATGTGTTGTGATTGGTTAGCTGGGCCAGTGTGTTTTGTGATTGGCAGCACTCGGCGCCTGGTCGGGAAATGTCATGCCCCTTACCATAGCCTCCTGCGAGCTTCAGTGTAAATATTGCGTCAAAATCAAATCAATTTGAGCGCGATTTAAACCCGGATGATTGTAACCACTCTAAGTTCGTCTGCCTTGGGAAAGCTAGCGTGTCTCCGACATAGTGATAACACTCGTTGCCTTCTCTAGTGCAGCTCAACCAGGTCTCGTCCCATTCGTCTGTATTTGTGATATCACAAATCCCGGAAAATGTGCGTTGTAGTCCAAACGAGTCGTTCGTTGCAGTTTTTGAAAAGTGATTTCTGTTAAATAAAATATCTCCTTTTGAAGTGGACTTTGAACTTTGTGACTTTGCAGATCTTTTTTATGCTCAAACAGCAACATTACAGACTAACTAAAATTGAAAAAGTGAAAAAGCATAATAGGACCCCTTTAAGATTCGATCACATTAGTGAAAATTTGGGGGGCAAAAAGTCTGCTGTCTGTTGTCAATAGCGTAGTAATGCAAGAAGCAAAGCTCACATAGAAGTTACTTTCAAACCAAGACACTTTCTGTTGGTCAGTATGGCAATTTGTGTGACCAACTTGAAAATGAGCGGAAATATGAGGGAAAAAAAAATGATGCACAGAGGTAGGAAAGAAGGGGCCAAGAATGTCTTGAATTGGGATGCGGAACAATTTTTGCGCAAAGCTTTGATGCGGTCACATTAGCGAACAATAATAAAGTACAGCTCATGCAAAAGTCACTTGTGTAGCAAGCAACTTTCATTAGATCAACGCGGAAAATTCACGTGACCAACAACAACAAAAAAAAACTGCAAAGGGAACATTTTCGCCCTCTCACAAACTCCCAATCACATTGATTCCTACTGGAATGACTGGATTCCCCCCACTGTGAAATTTCGACAAAACGATAAAAGTGACCACACCTTTAAGCCCGAAGTATACTTATATTTTGCATCGCGTACAGCTAAATTAACAGCCTTTCAAAGAATACTCTGAGTGAACAAGCGCTCAAAACGTGCTATTTCTCTCCAGAAGTCATGATCGAAAAAGATGTCTCTGTACTCAATCTAGAGTTGCACATATATCTTTACCCCTTTACATAAGAGCTTGTCAACACGAGCAACTAGTATTGTTGCTTCTCCGGTACTTTGTCATTGTTGTTCCATCTCATTTTCTTTTACGAATGTGAAACGACAGGCCTGTGCATTGCTGCCACCTTGTGGACAAACTAACTAGTGCAAAAAAAAAATCTCAAAGTGCATGTGCGAACTGAGCATTTGCTGAGAATGTCAAAAAAGGCTAAAGGGCAAAAAAAGATTGTCCGTGCAGATTTTGTTAGAAAAATCTAACTGAGCACATACAGTAAATGTATGTACTATGCTGATGTACATGTAAAAAAAAAAAAAGAAGTATACTTTTGGGCTTTAGACTTGAACTGTCGCTTTGGTTAAATAAAAAAAAAGGTCAGAGGGGACGGAAGATGCAGCAGAGCATGCTGGGGAAATGACTCAAAGGGACAACACATCACAGGAGCAACAGCAAAGGATGGAGGGTTGGCCACTGGTGACACAAGTGTAAAAAGAGAAATGCAGACGTGCAGCCGCATGACAGGGGATGCGAGATAGGAGGAGGAGGAGAATGACGGAGGACGGGGCAGCAGCAGTGTGGAGACTAGGTGTGAGCTGACAGCACAACACTGCCAGAGGCTGCCAAGGAAAGGACAACCGAAGCACGGAAGAGGTGGTAGAGTAGCAAGACGGCACTTGGTGGTGGTGGTGTTGGTTGGTGGGTGCTGGAGGGGGGATCTTCATGGTGGGGGGAACAAGGCAGGAGATCCTGTTCACATCCTTTTCATCAACGTCTCTCTCCAGGCCCGGCCCATGCAATATTTATACCTCCTTCTCCCCGCTCCTCTTCAATCTGCTCCAGTATTTAAAGCCCTTGCTTTAAAAGGGGATTTTGCTTCGTCGAAAAATCCACCGTGACGATTAAAATCGGATCTGAAGATCTCACCCTCCCACTCGCTCGGAGAGCAAATGCACCATCAAATATGCACGCCTTACCGACTCATCCGGCATCTCCTATGCATATCCATCAAACCTTGGGGACTTTAAGATATGATATCGGCATATGTGTGATTACATACACAATTCAGCATTTTTTTGGTTGCTTCTTTTTTCTTTCAAGGGAATACAAGTCTATGTTGGATGCTTGTTGAGAGTCTTGTAAAAGTCATTCTCTTAAGCCGTCACGGTGTAATCCATTGCCAGACTTACCTTGAGTGTTGCGTTCAAACTAATGTCAAATGTCTCTCATGGTTTATTGATGACAGCGGGCATTTAGTTTTCACCGCCTAGCTGTATTCGACAACTATCAAATTTAGCACAACAAGACATTCAATGTCTTCAATGTCTCACGGAAGGTCAAACGATATTGGATTTTGCCTAATAACTAAGGTTAAAAAAGCCACATTCCGATTTATCGGCTAATACCTTTTAATAAAATGAGTACATGTAAACATTTCAAGAGACTATGTGAGCCCAGAATGTATAAAATCCCAGAAGCAGTTTATTGTGTAATCAAAAATCCCATAAATAATTGGCAACCAAACCAGTTCATGGTATCTGGAATTTCATAATATATCGGACTCCTGTAGTCTCTATGCTTGGGTTGTTCTATCCCATTTAAAATATTTAAACATATTCAACATACCAATTTTAAAAACTACTGGATTTTATATTTTTCCCCACATCAGTTATCGGTATCTGCAAAATTCAACATATAAGACATTTGACGTTTAAATGACATTTTGAATGCGATGCTCAACGTAAGTCTAGCAATGCATTACTTCATGACAGGTTAAGGATTACACTTATTTTCTTGGGGGGGAAAGCAACAAAAATTAAAAGTCAAAACTAAGTGTGCTTGATTCAAGCTTTTTTACTTTTGTCAAAACAAAGAATAAAATTCTTAGAATCTGAATTGTGTATGATTCTTATTCAGAAACTAAAAATTAATAAATAAAAAAAACAGAAAAAGAATTTTAGTTTATGATGTAACTTGTGATTACGTTAATGGTTCTTGAACAGTTCTTGAAAGAGTTCTCTCTTCCAATGAAAAAATAAATTAAGATTTCATGCATTTAGCAAGACCTTTAACAATAACAAGGCTTATTTATTATAAAAATTAAATCAAATCAAATTTTCAAGATGAAAAATGCAAAGTACATGTCAAGCAAAGTTTCAATTTAAAAAACTGTGTTCTTCTATAATAAAAACATCCACAGTAAGAAAAAAAATAGTGGTCAATAATGACTTATTTACACATACAAGAAAGATGCTGCCCATGTAAAATAAAAAAAATAAAAAATGTATTGTATTTGATAAATAAATTAAGATACCAAAGTTTGGTATTTGATGTTCAAAAAGCTTGTATCGGCAATGATTACTCAGTAAAAAACATTCAACCTCTAATTTGAACACAACTCATGACCTACCACAAGACGACTTACAATAATTGAGTCGGATGATTGGAGGGAATTAGTCTGGAGGGTGTGAAAAGGAAGTACGACAAAAGAGAGATTAAGAGAGTGAACGAGGAAGAGAGAGAGCAAAAGACTGCTAAAAGCAGCAGATTTCCAACACCTCTGTCTCTGGCACTGGAAACACATGATGGCTCCTGTGTGCAGGAAACGCTGCTTGTGCAGAGAGCAGAATCTCATTATCACCTCTCACCCGGCACAGCGGAGAGACAGCCGGAGCAGACCGCCGCCTGTCTCTCTGCGGGTGGATTGACAGACACGGGGAGATTTGACGGGGGCAGATGTGGATGTAGAAGAGGGCGACAGGCTCGTGTTACATGCTGCTAAGCAAGCAGGTGGTGAGTCAGGATGGTAGACGCCAAAAAAAACCTCAAGTGGCTTTATAGAACGCCTATATAACGAGATTACAAAGAAGGTTTGGCTAGACTGTGTGTGTTTGTTTATATTTGAGAAAGCACACAAACCTGTGGCTGAAACACTGGCACCGGTGGCTGCTGGCCTTGTGATTGGGCGTCCATCGTGACAGCAGCAGTCCCTTAGACCCCTGCGAAACAAACAAACAAACAAACAAAATAAGATGCATTGACCATTCCCGGCACGGCCACAGGAGCAAACCTCCTTCCTTGTAATAATCTCCAGTGAATGTAGACGTGTGAATCTGGTAATAGAATTAGGGTCTGGAGCAGCGCTCCTGACAATCACACGCTGCTGTGGAAACAGTCGGCGCGTCACCTCGCCCGAGGAACCCGATCCGCTGAGAACACGACACCCATTGTGTTAATGAGACCTGTCAAAGAGCCACGGCACTGGAGACCCTTCAAATTGAATAGTAAAACTCAATTGTTAAAACTTGTAGCCCATTCGTCGAGCACCAAAGCAAATTATTGGGGAAAAAAAAAAAAATTGGATGTGTGTAACCAAATATAGTGTGGTCAGAATACTAAAGACACACAATTAAAGTTAAAAAACGAAATGTACTACAGCAGGTACAGTACCAGTTCCACCACCAAAACTCAACATTATAATCAGCTATATGATCTCAAAATTAGTCAGTTAGTGATATACTGAGATATCTGCCCATATTTGGCCATTAAGAAATGTTTGATAGGGCTGTACAATTTGGACCAAAAAATGATTTGAAATGCACTATAATTAGTTACCTGAAATGATTTTTTTACTCAAGCTGAAATTCAAGATTTAATTTAGCCAAAATCCAAAGATGAAGTTTCAGTAATTAAATTTATGTATCTGGGTAATTAAACTCCATGCTGTTCAGGGTATCGTGTTCTAGTGAAGTTCTTCAACAATGAACTGCTTCTCATTATTTCAGCTGAACAAATTTTACATACTCATTTTGACTGAAGGTTAGCCATTGAATTCCATAATATTTTTGTCCATACTATGGAAGTTAATGGCTATCATCTACTGTTTGGTTACCAACATTATTCAAAATATCTTCTTTTGTGTTCAGCAGAAGAAAGAAACTCGTATAGGCTTGGAACAACTTAAGAGTAGGTAAATGATGACAGAATTTTTATTTTTGTGTGAATCATTTCTCTAAATGTTATTCTGGCAAATATTTTGAAGAACGAAGTCAGGTTATAAATGAAGAATGAAGCCAGGTTTTGTAAAATACTTAAGTGCTCAAACTTAAACTTTGTGCTTTTTAAAAGAATCAACTCATACCTCTTTCAGCGACCAAAAAGTAAACCCAGTGCTTTTTGCATTCATATTGTACCTGCACTTAAAAGTGGACTCACTTCTGTTTTTGAAACAAAAATAAGAATTAGCTAATAATAAAACAAAATGAATAAATGCATTTAAAAACACACATATTTTAATTTAATTTAATTTTACATTTTTCACTTTTATATTTTATGTTAAAACCCCTTTTCAAACTGAAAGAAGAGCTTCAGTTTCAGTGAGTAGTTGGCAACACTTTTAATATGCTTCTCACTAAAAATCTGGTAAAAAGAAAAAACTGCAAATCTCTGTCTGCTAAAATGGAATGTGAACGTTTCCGATGCACATTATAAGCGAACAACTGTATGGACTTTAAGTGATCCAAACCTAGTGCGCATTTTGAGATTAACTGCAACCCTAATCATTGGCATCTGCAAATATCTGTTTGCACACAGTTAACGAAGTTAGCTAATTAACAACAAGCGGTCATTTCATCTAGTACCAGAAACAACATACAACAACCTTGTCAATGAAAAACTGACATTTTGTTTTCAAAGATTTTTGGCGCTATAAGTATTGCGTAAAATGTGTTACTTCACATTTAGAATAAATTCCAATTTAATCCCGAAAATGTGCACATCTTATTCAGTATCATTAAATGATATATCCGTCATCCTGCTCTCTAGATATCGGTTTTTGGCTATTAAATTAAAGAAAAAAAATGTCACTTAACCACAAATGTCAACCCAAAGATTCCTTCATTACTTTTACACACACACAAAACCTTCAATAACAGCCACCCATAAAGCACCTAGTATCAGTTGAGTCTGGTGCTCCTGGAAAGCCTACAGAGACATTAATGTGGGCACAATAAAGCGTACGCGCACGTAAGAAACAGCGAAGATGTGTTGTCTTTGCAGAGCCGACGATGAGAAGGAATAAATTAGGCCTGAGCTTTCGTCGGTGACAGAGAGCAAATACAAAAGACGGCTGCACACTTTCCTTTACATCAAGCCAGGAGATGGGCCTGTGCGTGCCGCAGCCATCAAAATTTTTAATGATTGCTCAGTTGTCACTTCACTGCGGCACGCAGCTCGGGTGAGCTTGCCGTGTCCTCACTGTACTGAAGGAATATGAGCGAGGGTTAAAAAAAAAAAAAAAGAAACACTCTTTTCATAGAAAGGCCATTTACATGTCGCTCACTGCAGTGAACGTCCGTCTCTGCGCGTTGTCAGGGCTGAGTGGATCGAGGAGCTCGAGCCAATTAAAATACCTCATGCCGGTGAACGGAGAAACGGAGCTGAAGCTGTCACCATGGCAAAATAATATCAGCCTGGTTTGTTGAAGGTTAATAACACTAATTAAGCACCAACCCTACGTCTGAGATTTGAGTGGCAGTGCGAGCAAGACAGGGTTTGTTGCCACCGAAGATTTGTTTTTGTTTGCCATTTTTTCAGTTTAGCTAAATTTGTCTCCACATTAAGGATTGTGGAAACTGCTTGCGTGACGCATTTTCTCTGGGGAAGAACTAGTCGTTAAAGCCACAAATTTAAACAGCCTCTCTACAAGTATGTAATTAGTATTGAAAGAGTAAGTTTTTAAATTAATAAAAACACCCGAGCTCCCAAAAAGCATACTTAGGAAACCCACTTTTTGTTCTTTCTTTACGAAACTTCAAAATGCGATTGAGGTGAATGATTCTCGGCACTAGGGCTGTGCGATTTGGGGGAAAATATCAAATTGCGATTTTTTTTGACAGATATTGCGTTTGCGATTTGATTTGCGATTTTAAATTTGCAAAGTCAAGCTTCAGCTCAATATTGTCAATAATGTGCAGCACAGTATGGGTATCATTACCCTGCTGAAAAAAACAATAGAAACCATCACAGAAATTCTTATAGTTTCCATTAAACCATTACAAAATTCCTTTTTGTTTTGGGCATTATTCCAAAATGAATTACTGTTGTTCTATTGGTTGCCATCTGCCAGATTACAGCCCACCAATAGAATCCATCAAATAGACACCACATTATAGGTTACATTAAAACCAATACAATTCCCATTATAACCCTGAAACCCATTACATTTGTTATTGTGTTTTGGGAGGGGTTCTATTGTTTTTTTTTTTCAGCAGGCAAGATTATAATGGTATAACTGCAGTGCTGATTGGGGAGAACGGAGGTGCGCTCACTCTTGCCCAGGGCAAGTAAGACTGCAACTCAAGGCTGGCAGTCATGCATATGCTCTGGAACAGAGTAATATCGCGTCCACATCGCAGGCTTTGCGATTAGGAAATCGCAACGTCTCAAATCGCGATTTCGATTAATCGCACAGCCCTACTGGGCACTAAATAGCAGTTTGAGACAGCAGTCAATGGACGCTGCTGTTGGCAATGTACAATGCTGCTGTCGTCTCACTATTATGATTAAAAAACAAACAATTTTACGCAATTACGTGAATCAAAATGGCAAATCAAATTTCAAACACGCTTTGAATGTGAAATGTTGTTTGTAATGTAATGTGCTATTTCAAAGCAAACAATAAAATAACTGTATAATAAAATGTAAAAAAACAAAAAAAAACTATACACTTTAATGCTGTGATGCCAAAATCAATTTCAGAATTTAGAATAGAGTTTTGCATTAATATTAGTATTTAATATTTATATTTTTTCATGAATAATGATTTTAATAGTTTCTTATTCATTTTAAAACATTACAATTTTCTTTCCCTCTCTTTCTCTGTCTCTATGAAACAAAATAATTGTATAAAACAAAATAAAAAAAACTAATGCTGTAATGCCAAAATGTACTTGTAGAAATTAATACAATAGAATTTAGTGTTTTAATTTTAATTATATATATATATATATATATATATTTCAGAG